TAAGGTTAAAAACCCAAGTTTCTAGGAATTGCGGGCTTGTGGACCCCAGGGACCACTGCACCGCCTGGTCCCCGCTCCAGGGTGGCCAAGCACCTCAGCCCCGGCTCCCGGGGGCTCTGCAGCCCCCAAACCTTCACCCCTTACAACTCCAGCTCGCGCAGTCCCGCCCGGAGACCCAGGCTCCCCAACCCTGCACAAATCCTGCTCGGTCCTTGCCGAGCTGCCACCTGCGTCGCACCCAGCGCGGCGTGCTCCGGGTCCGCTGCGGGTGGGCAGCGAGAGGCCAAGACCCCGCGCTCGGGGCAGGCGTTTCTACAGCGGATCCTTAGAAAGATGGAATTTACGCCGCAGTTCCTCAGCCGTCCTCCAAACGCGGCACGCTGGCAACAAAAGTACCGATTTCTGGTGCGGCACAACGATGCCGCGCGCTAGATGAATAATTTTAATAGCCCTACAAAGTTTACATGCTTAAACGATATATCGAAGTCATGCTGACATCATTTCACCCAAAATGCATATTCTAATCAGATTACCGGCTCTACCAACATACAAACTATGCATCACGGCACTACTCTACTCTGAAGTTTTGGGGAGAAAACAGTAATAACAAACAGGATTGTTTAATTCCATTCTCGACCCAGGATGCTGCTTTGTAACTGTATTTCCCAAACGAAACAAAGTTGTTCTCTGGATATCTCATTATTTTTAGTTCCCCTCCACCGCTGACTCATTGCGTCCTTTCCTGCCGTTGCTAAATTAACTTCCTCTCCCGGCCGCGGGGATGGATCCTGACACAATAAATCTGGGGCGAAAAACCCAATCCCATCGCCCGAGAGGAAGGATGTGGTGGCCAGGAGCGCTGGGCGCGGACCAGGGGGACATGCTTCCCCTCCAATTCGGGACAAGTCCCCGCATCGCCCTCACCCATCGCAGGGGGACGTCCCCGCACCGAGACGGGGGTCCCAGCCCGGCCCCGCTGCGCCCGTGGTACCCAGAGAGACGCGCCGTCACCCCCCGCTGCCGGCGAGCCGCCCCTCTACACACTGACACCAAAGCCCCTAAGGGTAGGAAGCGACATGGCCTACCAAAAATATATTTAGTGCTTTTCACCCATGTTCTTTGAAGCGTTTTATTCCCCATTCCAGGTCTCAGGCCGGCTCACCTCCGCCCTGCCCTCCGAGCCGGGATGCTCCAGGACCACCCTTCCGGAGGGGCAACCCCTAAGCAGATCCCACAGAGCTGGTCCCAATCTCCAGCGAAAACCCCGCTTCCAGCAGACACCTCGTTCCAGGCAACAGGAGAAAACCAAACCTGGTCAACCAAAAAACCCCCCAAAAACCCCCAAAACAACCCCCCCCAAACCCCCCCAAACTGGGCTGGGAGCCCCTGCAACCACTGCTGGAGGCATATTTGGAAACTGGCCTCCACGGCCACAGCCGCCGCTGCCCACGGTGACGCTGGGGGGGGGGCAGCGAGCCCGCTTTTCTTTTTATAGCACGCAGGGAAAGCTCGGTGCGGGTGTATCTGGAGCAGGTCGGGGGGTGTCCCTACGGCAGGAGCACGTGTGGCCACAGGGAACACGGGGCCGGGGACGGCAGCGCTGAAGCCATCCTTCAGCAAGGCGAGGCAATAGGACACATCAAGTTTTCCGTGCTTTAAGCAGGCGCTGATTGCTTACGGACAAGCGAGCGGTTAAATTGAACTCTGCTGCGCGGGCGTAACGCTTGCCCGAGTCGATGAAAAACCCCCTTGATGCTGTTGGGGCGAGGAACCCCCCCAGCTTTCTGCCCCCAACACTGCCAGGTACCGAGTTTAGTAGATAAAAGCCCTAAATTCCCCACAAAGTTCAACGAAAGCACCCTCCAAGCACCCTCCCTGCCAAGGCGGTGGTCACGGCCACAGGGCGCTCAGGCCAGGGTACGGAGGTGACTTCCAGGTCCGTCGAAATCTCAAGCTGCCAGAGCTATGTTGAAGTGAACAATGTCCAGAACTTCTGGAGGGACGGAACGCCATCCCGAGGGACCTGGGCAGCCTGGAGAGGTGGGCCTGCGTGAACTGCGTGAAGTTCAACAAGGCCAAGTGCAAGGTCCTGCACGTGGGTCGGGGCGATCCCAAACACGAGTACAGGCTGGGCGGAGAGTGGCTCGAGAGCAGCCCTGAGGAGAAGGACTTGGGGGTGCTGGTGGGTGAGCAGATCACCATGAGCCGGCAATGTGCGCTGGCAGCCCAGAAAGCCAACCGTGTCCTGGGCTGCATCCAGAGCAGCGTGGCCAGCAGGGCGAGGGAGGGGATTCTGC